TTCCTCTGGTCCCACAGGGATTCTCCCATATTCAGGCTGATTACCAGAACAGTGTCGGGGGCTCTCAGTCTCCAGGGGCCCCCAACCCAGTGCACGGCCAGAACCCCGACTGGGACAGCGAGTACTGCAACAGGGACTGCGGACCCAACCACTGCAGGTGAGCTCATCAGATCAGCCGCTGTGCTGTGTTGTGATAGCGGTGACAGACATGATGACTAAAACCATGAGAAAGAATTAACCCACAGAAAAAATTAAATATTATCCAGAACATTTGGTTGTTAAGAATCGAGAGCAGTTGTCTGACAGTTACTTATTTTCCGCATGAGTCGCCCGAAACCACTTCACTTTCACACTCACGCACTCAGACAGCATTAATCATAAACTGCGATTTCCCTGCTACAGCAAAAGCATCCCCTTGAAATTGAAATGAGTAATGCAGCAGCAAAACAATGCCATTACCGAGCTTGGATAAAGTGTGACATCCAATTAAGTTCTTCTGTTTTGCTTAGTACACGTTGCCTTATTGAATCAAGCTATTCAAGCAGGTACAAGACGGATGTTGTTTTTTTGTCTCACACCTGAAACTCGGTGCTGCTGCTCCGAGAGGCAGCGGATCTGAGAGTCAGTATCTCCTGTATTTAGAGCTGATTCATCTGTATGTCAAACTGGATCACACTCTTTGAAGTAGACGCAGTCTTTGCTTAAACCTTCTCAATGTGTCACGTTGTCGTTTTAGAGTTTTTGGAGGGTTCCGAGTATTGTTATTTCCAGCGCGTCAGGATAGATAACTGGAGAACAGACTGCGTATTTGACATTTCAAGTTCCGAGTGATCTGCAAATTATGACATTTTGTGTTTGTCTTCGCGTTTATTGACGTGCGCTGTTTGCTTTTAGCAGCTGTTTCTGTTTGTTTTGGAGCCAGGCCCTCCTTGTAAAAAAGTGTTTTCATGGTCTCACTGGGATTTCCTGGTGAAATAGAGGAGCCAGACACGTAGTCTGGAAATCACATGTATGTACCCACATACATCTGAACATACAATAATACATGTTTTTTCTTTCTCAGCAGTGGCATGGGAGCCCGGGACAAGCCTCTCTACCTCACTTGAAGTTGAAAGACCTCCAAATGTCAGACTCCAGGGAGCTTACCAACACAACAACGTCATCGATGTATCTGCTTCTACACCATTTCATTTTTTTTCAGATGGATTTTGAAAATCCCAAAGACTGCTACAGAAACTTCACCTATTTGCCAAGCACTTAGATCGGCCAGAGGCCTGAGGCACTTCTCTTGCTTTAAAAAAAAAAAAATTCCTTATCAGTGAACTTTCCGTTTTTTGCGGGGCAGTGAGCTTTAAGCTCATGCCAACATACTGGAAATGAAGACCAAAAAAAACATGTCTTCTCATCTCGTTTTGAATTTTTTAAAGATGCTTTCTTTCCTCTTCGCTCCATTACTCTTGTGTTTGCCATGGACTGCCCTCATTGGGGAGATGAAATGCTCTAAGCATACTCCAAGTGTAGGGGTCTCGGGTAGAAAAGCTAATGCAGGAAACTAGGATATAGTCACCTCACCGGGGGGTGGATACATACAAGACTGACTGAAACAACCCTGACTGAATAGAAGCAAAGCGAAATTATTATGAAGATAGTCACAAACACATGAGGCATTTGTAAATCATCCGTGCCCTTGTAAAGGACTCCCTCATTTCTTTATTTGTCACAGAGTGATTGTAAATATCACCAAAATGGATCCCTCTAATGTGTGTATTTAACTGCAGTCCCTTGCTTTATTTTTTTTTCTCAAACATTCTTTTTTTGTTTGGTTATGTGATTTCTCGTGCTGGCGGATTCAGTGAGGGAATACACACACTAAAACTCGTGTTGAAACTGTGTTCACCGGTCTTGTTTCTCTCCAAACCATGAGAGAAACTCCAAGACTGAAAAAAAAACGCTCCATTTCCTCCTTATAGGTGACGGAGCTCTGATAGAGAGTGTCCCTCTCTTCACACGGCCTCAGGACGTTACAAAACTGTAGAGGTCAAAGGTCGAAAAACCTCTCCTTTTAGCTCCTCCACCTCTTGGTCAATAAGGACCACCCCCTCACCTGTAACCCCACCCACCACCCCTTAGTCCTGACACCACTTGTACAGGTGAATTAAAAAAAAGTTGCTAAATGTGAAATGTTACTAAAGAAAAAAAAAACATAACAGTGGGTTTTAAAGTTTTTGACTAGTTTTATTAGGTGTTTTAGAATTGTGTTGAACTCATCTTTATCATTTTTTGTGAAGATAAAAAAATCTTAATCTATTTTGTTTTTTCACTGTAGCAGGATTTTGCGTTTTTTTTGGAGGAACGGTCATGAGGGTAGATATTATAATTTTTGTGTATAAACCTGCCAAATGTACTTCTTTAATTTGTAAAGCCAGTGATAAGAGAACTCATTTTGTTTTTTGTTGAATATCATACTGTATGTTTTACAATATGGTCATTCTATTTAATTTGGTTGCAGGTTTCACATCTATTTATGAATGAAATGAAGTAACATTTTGGTTTAATTTCATCAGGGTGCATTATTATTATTATTATCATTATTATTATTATTATTATTATTATTACTCAAACAACATGATTATTAGAATAATAAATATTTTTTCAGAAATTGTTGTTGGTGCAGTACCAGTGCACCAGCATTAGATTCATTTCGTGTCACAAATACTTCTTTTGTTTTCTTTTGTCTGTAATAAAATGTTTAAAGTGAAGAAGTGGACAGTTCCGTGTCGACTTATTTGGATCTTGAGTCTCAACACATTCATTTGTCCTTTGATGAGTAGTACCTGATAGGTGCAGGAGCCCATAAACAGCCCCCCCCTCCTCGTCTGCACGTGTCTCTGAGGTTAATGAGGAACATTACCTTTGATGTTGCAGAAGTTAATGTGGCTGCTGTCCCTGGCTCATTGGGTGAGGAGTCGAAGCTTCCTAGTTTACCTTCACTTAACCTTTTTTTCGGACTTTTCCTGTTTTTTCCTCTTTCATATAATTGAACCCAGACATGATTAATATAATTAACCGAGCTGCGTTTTTCTGTCCACTAGCTGTGGAGTGAGATGATGAAACTCAGTTGGTGCAGTTGATGTACACAGTCTTTCACTGAACTACCTTTTACTTACGCATTTCACAGTTGGATTAAAGGTAGAATAGAAATGGAATTTATCATCCCTCACCCTCCTCTCTCTCTCTCTCACCCCCTCTCTCTCTCTCTCTCTCTCCCTCTTTCTCTCTCTCTCTCTCTCATGATGACGCAGTGCCCCCTAGAGCTGATTCATAAAACCAGGCACATTGGGGGTTTTCTCTTCCTCTGCACTGGAGGACAGAAAGAATCAGTTCATCGTGGTTCAGTGACTTCATTTAGACAGTCGCTCAAGTGTAATACTGATATTTTTTTAATGATGATAACATCAAAGGGGCCTTGCCTCAGCATCATTAACAACAGTGTTTCCTCAGGGCTGCTGAGCTCAGGTGTGAATGTGTGATACATTTGGTTTAATAAATATATGTAATAATATTATTAAAAAAAACATTGATCAAAATAAAATCATATGAGAAAATATCAAAACCAGAAGAAAAGAGATGCATGAATTAAACTGCTGAAGTGGAGCGCTCCACTGCTCAGCCCTCTCCTGTTGATGATCCTCTATCGTCCTCTGCTGGTCATGTCTGGTCTCTCGCTCAAACAATTTAATATCCATGTGCATATTTTTTTAGGACTATAAAACTATAATTAAAATAAGAAGTGTGATAAGAAAACATGCAATTTTGCAATAATGCTAAATATTTTAATTTGAAGCCACATCAAGGCTAATCAATTTTCAATAACAGAACAGTTTGATTATCTTATTAGTTTTATCATTTAGCTCAAAAATTGGAAAAAGTTTGCTGTCGGATAACAACTTAACAAAAACAATATTTGAAAATGAAATGACTATTTACACTTTATTCCGAGAACATTGTTGTAATCAGGCAGAATTCTTGGGGACAAGTGGATTTATTTCACCACACTTGCAGAACGCTTCTTGTTTTGTGGAAAATGGCTCAATGCGAACAACTAAATTATGTGCGCAAGTTGTTGTTGATGTGTTTTGCAGTAAAGTTGAGTCAGTTTCACCTTAGCTTCCCATAAATAATTGAAGCTCCATGTATCATTTATAGCTTTGCCCCTGGGATGTTGCTCACAGCAGAAAGATAGCTGTGTGTAATATTTATTTGAATTTGCAAATAGAATACAATTAACAGAAAATATGTGTTTCATGTGCACAACTTCAGAAATATTTCAGAGTATGTTTTAGTGCTATGTGACTGACTCCTCCTTTAATAAGTAAGATTGAATACCCTGGTTTAATATTTGGTTTTGTTGAAACCAGTGAGGCTGGATTTGACCTATATGACTGTACATATGATTGTATGTTTGAACCACTCCAGCCCCTCTTCAGTCACCTTCACTTCAAAATCAAAATACTCCATACGTCAGTTGTGCAATATTGCTTCCTTTCCTTGTCCAATCTCCCATCGCTAATATTGTCTCCTGGAGCTGTGACACTGGCTCCATCAGCAGCCATCAGACCCTCTCATTTCCTCTCCACACGGATATGAACTGTCCTGACGGTGCAGGCGTCAGCAGCATCATTGTCTGACAGCCAACAAACAAGACGAGACAAATGAGAAAGGACAAAGCATTTCATACGGATCACCACCCAGACACTTGATGGCTGAGGCGATAACACCACTGGACAACATTTTTCAAGAAGATCCTGCTTGTGAAACATCTTCATTTGGATTCAAAGCTGTCTTGTGTTTGGTGAAGCTCGTTCTATTGGAGACTGTTGTCTGAGGAGAGCCTGTGGCCTTTTGTTAACTGGTGGGAGCATATTAAGCTGCAGCAGAGATGAATCAGATTTCACTGCACTTCTTTTGTTGCCCATATTCTTTACAAAACACAAAACAGCTTGAACAAAAATATGTTTATTATTACATGTACCTGCCATGGTCACTGACATGCAACAGTCACAATAGCTGACATCGGTACTTTACAAATATGCTAACAGAGTGTTTTTTTCCTCCATAACATTTGATTTGTTAGGCAAACACCATTAAAGGCTTTATCATCACATCCTTCAAGCACTGTGCTGTTTGTTGATGCTTAATATAAAAAAAAAAAAACGAACCCTTACCCTAACATTTCTTTACATCGTTCTTTAAATCCACCAGTACTGGGGGGGGGGGTTCTGCTTTTGGGACGCCCTTCCCTCTCTCTCTTTACATGTGAATACATTGCCATGATGGTGTTTTTAAAATGTAATTGATTTATCTTGATGCCTTGGTCCACTTCTATTAACAAGCATAATGATGGTTGTAGAGCGCCTTCCGAATAATAAAGACATTTCATCTCCAGTTGTTTGAAAAGGATGTTACTAGGAGAATAAACATGTTGGAAGTATTCAACTGGCAGCGTTTGCCTCTTTGTTTCTGTTTCAAAGTCACTTTCTGTTTATTTGTCCTTGACCAACCTGCATCCAGTTGATTGTTGATTTCACACTGGATTGTCAGCACTCAGTGAATGCTCAGCAGAGGCTGATGGAACGCATAAAATGTTGACATTTAAGGGGACTGTTGTTTTATTTATTTTTTTCAGTCCGTGCAAATTCCATCCTCCTTCATATTCCTCAGAGGCTTCATTTCCTCTGGGGTTAGGAGTGGACTGGGAAAGCGCTTATAATAACTACGGAAAAAGATATTCACTTTAAATTTTTGACTTTATAGGCAACTTCCTATTTTTTTAAAAACTTAATTTGCAACATTCATTTTGGTCTTATAGTGACAATAAGACAAAAATTAAAAAAAACATCAGCACCACCACAGCTGGCACAGATCATGGATAAAAGATACAAAACACTACAATGAAGTTTTCTAAATACAGCTGCTAACATAACATCTATACAGATTCTCAGATATCCATCAAATAGCATTACACATGGAGCACTGACTCTGAAAATAAAACGATACGAGAAACAGACCTGTTTCACAGCAACACATCTTAAGGAAACATCACATACACAGCTTTATCCTTTTTGTGCTTTAGTGCTGTGGACTTGTTTTCAGATTTACTGTCATTAATTAACCACAACCTTATTTATTTATGCTCTGTACACTGAGTCTTTCTCATATGAGGTCTTTTAAACTTTGACTAACAGGTATGATATTCTCTAAAACTCTAAACTATAATAAACTATGTGGGGTTCTGTTTGTTAGTGTTTAGCAAATGTAAAGAGGGTTGAAAAAATTCTCATTAGTACATTTAGTTTATGGCGAACTTGTTGTTTGAGGCCACTTTTAGAGTTTCTGGAGCTTCTGGCGTTGTGTTTTTCTGTGGACAGTCAATTTCAGTATGTGACTGGGACATTGACTCTCTAACTAACATGAAAAATAAAAGCATTGACCAGGATTAACATGTGATGTAACTGTGAAACAGATATTGAGTAAAAGTCAGAGTAAAACGTCTGAATTTCAAATCCCGACTTTAAGATTAGACTTTGTTGACATTGTTGTGTTCATAAATATATGTCAACTTACTTTGTACACAAGGGCATACATAAATAAAAAAACTCTTTAACCAAGATTGCCAGGCTCCTCTTAAATATACCAACTACCTGGCTGGTTAAGGTTTAAAAATATAAACTGCTGTAGCTGAATCACGCATGAATGAGTGTAAACACTTTGAGAATGTTTAGACAAAAATGTGATTGCGTCAGTCCTTCATCTTGTTGAGAGTGTGCAGCATCACTCCACCGCCTCGTGTTTCTCCCTCTCTTCAGGAACAGACATGAAGATCTTCTGACAGAACATGGTGAAGATTTCTGAGGAGAAACAACTCATCACATCAACATGTCTGTTTTCTTTGGCTCCATTACTGCACATGTTTTTGCAAAACAAATAAAAAAAGGATAAACTTTATCAAACAAATACTTCGGTTTCAGTCCCTCGCTTCGACTGTGTAAACAAGTCAAATGTATCAGAGCCCCCACAGATATTTTCACATGAATCTCATAACAAAGTGTAATGAATGCTGCGTCACTCACCCAGCATCTTCCTGACCACATGGGGTTTCTTCCACTTGTAGCCCAGTAGGTACGCTGGGATACCTGTGAGAATGATGCTGCTGCCGACCAGGCACTCGAAGGGAGCCGCCCAGAACGACACGACGATCATGAAGACACAGCCCAAAACAAAAGTCACAGGGATGAACAGATACACCTGCACAGACAAAGACAAGAGGACGGGTTTGTTGCAGTTCAAAAAAGAGGACTATCCATATAATACTATTGTTGTTTGGCAAAGTGATGGAGAAATTAATTTCTAGGTAAGTAGGTAGGTAGGTAGGTAGATAGGTAGGTAGATAGGTAGGTAGGAAGGTAGGGAGGTAGGTAGGGAGGTAGGTTGATAGAATACAGAGCTTTGTAAGCTGATGAATAGAAATGTGTTGTTGTTGTGACAGAAGATAAATTTAGATGTGAAAAAAAACTGACGATTGTCTTGTGTCATGAATAGTTTACACATAAAGAAGAAAGCTCCATTTGTTCCTTGTTAGAGGTTCATCTTATAAAACAAATAGGCTGAGAGCACTCAGGCTCAGAGCAGAGATGAAAGACTCCAGTCAACCAAAGTAATAATCCCATGATGAAACAGAAACAAAGAGCCATGTATCCGTGCAGACACCACTCCCATCCTGGAATCACAGTGTGGTTCCACCTCCCACAATAATAAGCGTTGTGACACAATAGTTGTTTTATTAAAAGACAGATTTTATAAAACCAGGGGACATGTTTCTATTTATATTTGAGGCAGACAGAGAAAGTGGCTGAGGTTCACGGAGAGTCCAGGTCTTAAATCATTGGTATATCTTTCAGTGAGTCAATTCCTTCACACTTTTCTCAGATAGGTCAATTGTGCAATAAAATATTTGCCACCTGATCAGATGTGGGTGCTCTACCTTAATGGGCCTCCTGAGGTTGGGTTTGGTAAAGCGCAGCCAGATCAAACCTCCGATGGCCATACCAACACAAAGCCAGGTGAAGAAGCTGAAGAGGTTGATGACAGAGAAGATGTCCTGGGAGATGGCGTACATCATGGACAGCAAACACTGATATCAGGGAAAAGGGACAAGATGATGTCAGTCTTTCATACATTGCACAAAAACACACGCGCATGCACAGCATTAAAAAGACATTTATCTCGGCTAACCTTGTTACCCTGGTCTGTCTGGGTTTTTTTGCATGTTTTTTTGTTATCAGGATTAATTTATTTAATTAAATGATTTCTAGGATATTTTGTGGAGGGGTGGGACACGACCCAAGGAAGAAACCATCATCAAGTGTATTTTTTCACCTTCTTCAACACTGCAAATTGTTGTTCAGCAGTTTCATTGATTTGTCACAATAATTCATGGATCTTAATTGAAATCAAGTTTAGGAGACTGATATTTATGAGTGTGTGCAATTTGGTGCAGATCCAAATAAAAATCCAGATTTAGTGAATATAGTGGTCTCATAAGGAAACTGTTGGTATGAACTCCACTGTGTTCTAATTTACAGGTGTCTTTGTGGGTTATGTGTGATAAATGTAGAACATATCATAATACACATTAGATGCATGTAAATGTCACAGAATAAAAGGAATGTTGTCTATTAAAAAAATAACTTTACAAATACTTAACAAATTCAGCTTTCAGACAGATTTATGATCAGTACTCGTTTTAGCTAATACGTATTTTCAAGCGCCAGAAACATGTAGATGTTTATTTAATGCACCTTCATTAACCATAATTCTATTGGTTGCTATCATTGGTTATTGGATTTATCAGGTGCTTCTAGTGGGGCTGATTTGTAAAACACAAAAGTAACTGTTGAATCATCACTGTGAGTAGCAGGGGTCTTACTGTGAAGATGAGGGACGGCACTGGAGTGAAAAGGTCTGTGTGAACCAGCCCCAGAGCTGCGGGGAGTTGACCCTCTCGAGCTCCAGCATAGAACAAGCTAGAGGAGAGAAAGCTCTTTCATGGTTATTTTTTGATAAAACAGTCGGCCTATATTAACAGATCCAGCCAATAACAGCCCCGGGTTTTGGAACACACCCCCTACCCACCTCTTACCCTCCTATCATATGAAGCTTCACATCCTCCACAACATGTTTGAGCGTTTACGCCCTAACAACCAGTATCCTTTTCTCAAAACATCCTGACTCCAGTTTCATCACTGCACAGGAATAATGTGCTGATAACTGACCTTGGTGTTTTCAAACAGAAATACCTGACTTCACCTCCCACCCTGAGCTGTGTGTAAACACGCACCGTGCTGAGGTGAAGAGAGATCCGTTGACGGCGCCAAAGCAGGACAGTCCCACAAAGACAGGAATCAGCCAGGACATCACACCCAGATGGTACTCCCCGAAACTCTGCAACACAGCACAGCCAGTAACACATAGGAGGGCAGCTTACACTTTGTAAAATATACAATAAACTGAGTCTCATAACTTTTTTTTAAGGAAGTATAATGCTCACCACGGCAACAGCCTCAGACTCGACCATAACTTCAGGAGAGATGGTGGTGAAGTAGGCCAGGTTTGTCAGAACATACACCACAGTCACTATGGGCATGGAGATGATGATAGACAAAGGCAGGTTCCTACAGAGGGAAAGGTCAGGGGTCATTTGAGAAGAGATCCTCTTTACATATTAAAGGTTCAGTGTGTAGAATTTTGCGATATCTCGTGGTGAAGTTGCATGTTGCACAACCCTCACCTCACCCTCCCCTTCCAAACATGAAAAAGAACCTGTGGTAGCTTCAGTTGTCATAAAAACTCAAAAGGTGTTTAGTTTGTTCAGTCTGGACTAATGTAAAAAACATGGCGGCCTCCGTAGAGAGGGTCTCCTCGATGTAAATATAAAGTATTTAAATATACAGAAAACTACAATTCATGCAATTTAGATGAAACAGTGAAAACATCATGAGGATTATTTTACATTAAATATCTGCCAATAGTTCCCTTTCCCCTAAATCTTACACACTGGACCTTTAACAACTTATTTTCTAATAAAGTGATCAGTTAGTTAGTGTTCAGTTTGATGTATGCGAACATGGCCAAGCACAGTTCCATATATTTTTATATAGTTAGTCGTGTACAGTGATCAGCTGTGCAATAATAGAATTTAATAGAATTGAATGTAATACTGCGAAGCATAAGCATCACATGCGATCTGCTGTAGTTAAACTAGCTCAGACACGGATGAGGTTTTTCATGCTGTTGGCAAATATTTACAGGAGGGTCTGTACAATCCACAAAACAACCTTCATCAAATTTAAATCACCTCTCTGGATTGATCATCTCCTCGGTTACGTAATTCAGGTAGTTCCTGGAAAAAAAACAAGAGTTCCACACTGTTTTAGCAATTGGTGAAAAAACCCATTAATGACTGTGTATTTCACTGTAAACTAATAAACCATTTCTATTTCTAGACTGTTTCTAGACTCACCAGCCTCCAAAAGCGAAGAGGCCGCTGTATAATGCCAAGACAATGTTGTCAACCCCCAGTTTGCTGCCTTCAAATGCCTTGTCTGGCATAAGGTACGGCACGTCACCTGCACACAGAAGAAATGAGAGGTTAAGGACTAATTGACCTTTCACATCATCCAGTCTTGTGATTTCATAGATTTTGAATCGATTCTCATTTAGGGCGCCTGGTGCTTTCCTATTTCTTGTATCTAGGCCAGTATGCTGCTGCTTGTCATTTGACAGGTTGGACATTTTCAACCAGCAGCGAGTCAATACTGACACGTTTGAGTGGTTCCCTGGTCGACATTTAAATATGAGCAGAAATATATTTTCAGTCCACCCCTTTACTCAGAGCAGCTACAAAAACCAGTGCATCAGCAAAAGGAGTTGTATAAGAGCGTATCTGGTGTGGGTGTGTGTGTGTATGTATGTGTGTATGTGTGTGTGTGTGTGTGTGTGTATGTGTGTGTCCTGCTTCTGGGTGACTCTCCCCTCTACCTGTCGCTTTCAGATGGTAATGACTTTCCTTTTCCATGAGGCCTGTTACACACTCATTATTTTCTCACTCAGTCCTCTGAAAGACCACAGTGTGACAACAGCCGGCAAGCCTCGCCACCTAGTATCCATGGAAACGCAGCGTAGAGCACAATGGTGGTGGGGCATGGCTTTCCAAAGGGCGGGGGGAGAGGGGCAGATGTATCACGGCGCGAACGATGGTCACAAAGTCTTCTCGTCTGGTTTTACTTCAGATAGTGTGACTGTGGCTGATTTGCTCCTTGAGATTTGAACAATTTTAACAGCATATTCCTTATTTTTTCAAGATGGAGTAACATGGTGGTTTCTCACTATGTTTAGCACAGTGATATTGAAGATTCAATCAATAATGTGATTCATTACCGCCAGAATATACATTTTCCAAAATTTCTTTTGCATGACTAAATCTATTGTATCGTGTCCTGTAAATTACTGTGCAGATGAGTCATGTATGAAACCAATTACACTCTGAAGTGTTCAGAGTGATCTGTACACCTGCACAGACTGACGTGCACGTGGCTGCACTCCCGCTCAGACTCAGCCACATGGCTGCACACAGACGAGCCTTGTGCTCAGACTAAGCAACTGTGCAAACAAGCTGAAAGGAGGGCAGTCCGCTCGGTCGGGTTCATTAGTGCTAGTCAACAATTTGTTGATCATCTGCGACGAAAGAATTAAACCCCAGATATTGTCACCCAGACAGATAGGATGAAATAATAAAGCGTGGCATTAGATAAAAACTACAAATTGTAAGAGCACGTTATATTTACACTTCTATTGCACTTCAAATCTAAAAAGAGGATGAAGAAAGTAGTTCTTGTTTGGAGAGTGAAAGAATATCTATACTACTGCACAAAGTACTGTGTCAGTTACAGTACATTACAATTGCATCACATGGTAGAGTTTTATGTAGATATTAATACAGAGAATAACCTAATTTACTAATTATCAGAG